AGGTTTTTCATCCTGAACCTAGCTTATCGAATTTAATCGCTGCCCGCAAAAATCCATGACGTCGGATAATTTTTGAATTTCCTGGTTTTTCTTAACATGGCTCTCATATAATTGCAGAGCCTCTTTATTCTCTTTTCTGATAACTATATGTGCGATTTGAACCTGGCGGGAAATCAGAAAAGGGGCACACTAGAAGTGGTGCAAGTTATACGGCAACCCTCTGATCACCGGTAGATAACCATGAATCGATAACCTTCCCGATCGTCGTGGTGAGCAAGGTCGTTCCTATCGTGTCGTTGAGAAAAGAAGTTAAAATAAAGTTGTCCACCCGAAATACTTTTACGAGAACTAATTTAAGCACCAATTGTATCACGTTTAAAACCTATCCTAAAATACATTAAATAAACACTGGAATATTATAATTTTCCTACAATTTGGGGGCTCAACCGGGATATGGCCCAAGCGTGAGGTGCAACTTAAAATTGTAAAAGTGCTGTGCGTTGGCAGAACGTTCCAGAAAAATCAGGCCACATACATACTGCGTAGAAGGTCACGAAAACGCGAAAAAGTCTACGGCGCATAAAATCTACAAACGTTTTGTGTGCAACCGACTAAGCGGCGACAGTGCATGTGTATGTATGGGTGAACAAGGAGACACGAAACGACCAAGCAGCAGAAAAGGCTGGAAAAAGACGTTTTCGTGGAATCGACTCGGCGACACGATTGATTTGTTTGTGCGACACGAAGCAGCAGGAAAGGCTGGAAAAGACGAAAGTAGATTGACGATCTATAGTAGTCGACAGTCCAAGCGTCAGGAGAAGGTTGCGCTGGAATTACGTAGACTGGAAATTTGCGGAAGCTGGTCTGTGAGAAGGCGTTGGCGAGCATTGGCAAGCAACGAAAGGCAGAAGCGAGCGGTGCAAATCAGAAACGTAAAGCAAATCTGGTACAAAGGGGACGGAAAACTTGGAAGTCGAAAGGAAGACAGTCAGCAGTATTTTTTGGACGACGTCGGCAAGGAAGTGCCGAGCAACGAAAAATCAGACGAGAGAAGCAGATCTTCTGAAGTGGGGAAGTAATGAATTAAGAACTTTTGGTAATAATTAACTGTATAACCCTTTATTAATTCGATAAGTTTTCGGTAAGATTTATTACATTAACCCTTTTTGATTCTTGATATTTAACGTAATCGATATTCAAAATGCAACTAGAAGAGATCATGTTAATGCGAGTTGCAGATCTGCGCTCGAAGCTATCTGAACTAAATTTGTCCACGACACGATTTGCAGGATAGACTTCTTGCTCACTTCGGCATTCGGGATGATGATGATGGTGGTTCGGATGGAGATGAGTCGGTAGTTACCGCAAACGAATTTGCAGGTATTGCCATGCCACAGACCCGATCTTTGTTTACCCTGAAAGATGTATAGGGTAGTGTCTCCACTTTCTCAGGAACAAATAGCCCAGATGTAGAGCAGTGGGTACAAGAGTTAGAAGAATGTTCGGTCACCGTGCAGTGGAGCACACTGCAGTTGTTTATCTATTCCAAACAGTTGCTTGATGGAGCTGCAAAATTATTTGTACGCAGTCAGGAAAATATTAGGGACTGAAATTCACTAAAGGAGTCATTGCTGCGGAGTTTACAGTTAAAATATCTTCTGCGGAAGTACATAGGAAGCTAGGAAAACGTATGCAAAAGAAGGGGGAAACGTTATACGAATTTCTATACTATTCTTTGATGGAAATAGCAAAGCCAGTGACACTGGATGAAGAAAGTTTGGTAGATTATTTCGTGAAGGGCATACCAGATGTAAAGACAAACAAAATTATGTTAGAAGTATATTTTAAAGTTTGTACTTTGAGTAAGGTAACGATTAAGTATGAAACCCGTGCTGGTGATACTGATAGCCAGAAAGGTTTTAAACCAAAAAGAGAATCAGTACGAAAATGTTTCAAGTGTGGTGATACTTCTCACTTGAGGAAAGATTGCAAGAAAAGGGATTTCAATTGTTACCGTTGTAGTCAGGCAGGACATCGGGCATCAGAATGCAAAGTAGAGTTGGTTGTAAAGGATGAGAAAGGTGCCAACACTGTTCATGAGGGAAAGACAGGAGCAAAGTCGAAAATTGGGTTTACAGCGTCCGGTCTCGAACTCAAGAATGTTGTGCATCCTGTGGTCATCTTTAAAGGCCTAGTAGACACTGGAGCTGATCTCTGTCTGATGCGTCGACGTGTTTTCCTGAAACTGGGTAATGAGATACTGACAGGAAAAGGAAAACGTTTGACAGGAATAGGAGAAGCCTGGTACTGACTATTGGGAGCTTTATTATACCAGTGAACATTGACGGAATCCAAATGAAAGTCGAATTCCACGTAGTACCTGACGAGGACATGGGTTTTGACGCAATTCTAGGCAGAATGATTTTGGATATAGTCGATATGAAGGTAACTAAAGGGGGAACTGAGTTCATGCTCAAAAATCAATCGAAGAGCCAGAATAAATACCCGATGATGGAGAATAGTTCATGTGGCGACTTACCGTTTGAGTTTAAGAGCATGTGTGTAGGGCAAGAAGGAGTAGTCTCTCAGATGGATTTATCTAATTTATGCCAATTGCAGCAGATCGAAGTGAACAGTTTGATAGAGCCCATTCGCAACCATAACACACCTGGGGAGATGGGAATTATTTTGAGAGATGAGATCCCAGGGTTGAAAGGTACACGAACGGTAGACGAACCAGTAAAAGAAGGGCTAGTCGAGGAAATCATAGCACCGAGTCAAGATAATGAGAAAGGGAAGGATCAGAATCGTGAGCTAGTAGTGGTGCCGTCGGTAATGGAAAAGAAGATTAATTCGAAAATGCATAGTCAGGGACATTTTTCAGCCAAGAAGACGATAGATCTGATTAGTGAAAAATGTGACAGGTTCCTTTTTGTGAATGCAAAGGCAGGGAAAAGGAAAGGTTTTCGGACCTCTATAGACGAAGAAGGGCAAAAGTATCATAGTGAAGATTGAGAAAACATTGGGAAAATGCTAGAGGAAAATAAAAGAGCTTTTGACTTGAAACGTAAGAAAGAAAAGGAGTATAAAGTGAACGATTTTGTTGCAATTAAGAGAACCCAATATGGAGGGGGCCTAAAGCTTTAAGGAAAATACTTAGGACCGTATAAAGTGGTTGCTGCCAAGGAACACGGGCGCTATGAAGTAGAGAGAGTTGGAGATACGGAGGGTCCTTTTAGAACGTCGACGGTGTCCGAGTACTAAGCCATGGCCAGGTCCATTCGAGGTGAAGTCGGGGGGGGGGGGGGGGGGGGGGGACGGGAGGGGGGGGAAAAAAAAAAGGGGGGAGGGAAAAGGGGGGGGAAATAAAAGGGAACCCTTTGTTCCCCGGGGGATAACCATGAATCGAAAACCTTCCTAATCGTCGTGGTGAGCAAGGCGTTCATATCGTGTCGTTGAGAAAAGAAGTTAAAAAAAAGTTGTTCACATGAAGTAATTTTACGAGAACTAATTTAAGCACCAATTGCATCACGTTTAAAACCTATCCTAAATTACATTAAATAAACACTGGAATATTATAATTTTCCTACATATATTTGCAAAGATTGCATCAACTTCATCAGATAATTGTGCCTTTAATTTTATCATGGGAATTGACTCATTTATAGTGTCAATAAACATTGTTAACTGCCTAACTGAGTCCACATTACATTTTTTAGCCCAAGAAGGCGGTTCAATTGATCGGAAAATATTTTCCTTTTATTTTCATACCGCTTGGTTAACAATTCCCAAACGGTCACATAATTTTCCCCTGAACCTAACAATAAGTGAGAAACTACATTTCTCGCTTCTCCCTTAAGTGAAATCTTAAGGTAATCAAATTTTAAGGTAGAACTTAGAACCTCTCTTATATGAATATGTTCGGTAAATAACTCATAAAACAGGCCCCAATCTTTGGAATCGCCAAATTTTTTGGAAGTGTTGGCAAATCATCAATTTTTTATTTGTAACTTCTCCCATTTTTGGCACGTTATCCTTAAGTTTTTTCTTCATAATTTTAGTTACAGTTAACACGTCAAATTCTAATTCATTTAAAACATTATCATACATATCAATAGATTCAATCATTTCGTCTTCTTTTATACCAACTACCTTTCTCCAATAAAACATTAATTTTTCTATCCTGAATTTCAAATTTTCCTTATTGCCTCCATCTATAGCATTAAAAGTTTCGTCTAAATTCTTTTTTAACTGCTCTATTGATTTTGAAAATGTTCTAACAGTTTTCGTACCATCCATATCGGAACCAGAAATCTTTTGCTTCTGCTCAGAACATGAAGCTTTCTGTTCTTGTTCCATATCGAAACTTTCACTCATCTGATTCTGCCTATCCACTGTACTTTGAATTCTTCCTATTTTGCCCATCATAGCTGCATAGTGGTTTTTCTTAAAATAGCAGTAATCGACTACACCAATTTTTAAGAGCATAAAGTTGTTATTTATGCATTCTGCTGTCAACAATTTAACTTCTTTAACCTGCTCACTACTTAAAGTTTTAAATTCTTCTAATACCCTTTGTAGAATTTCCGAAACGAAAGTGCAAGTTAATACGGATGCCTTTACTTAGGCTTAAGACCCTGGGATTAGTGGGACGGACCAGAGCTGAGCCGGCGATATAATTCGATCAAAAGAGTGAACCGTGCGGAACGATGTCAATTTTACGAGTGGTTTATTTCCACGCATAGCTTTTCGGCTGCGGGCGTTTTAACATGTTGCTAATATTAATTTACTGTGGCGGCACTTCTTAGGCTACAATTGTGATACTTCATACTTTTTAGGCTACAACTATTATTTTCGGCTACCCTATGGTGTAGCGACATTCCGGCCGCCTTGAACGACCGCACGTCGGGCTTCAACCCATCGGCCAGCTTATGGATTGGGCGTCTAATAACGCCACCTCCTGTCCGCACCTCGGGCGCCCTGACCTTGGCGTCCGCTCCCTAACGACACTGGTGATCCTGCCGGTGATCCACCGCTGCGGTGGCGTATGGTCGTCGTGGACCACCACCATGGCGCTGACCTCGATGTTGGCCTCTGGGGTTTGCCAGGTTGTGGACGTAGTCTTTCGACCAAGCCTGCCAGAACCGCCGTTTGAGCTCGGAGAGCAGTTGCCACCTCCTGGTAAAGGTGGTACCGCTGCTCCGTTTGTCTGGCTCGCATCCTTGCAGCAGCGAGCGAAGGGGCTGTCCGATCAAGAAGTAGCCTGGCGTAAGCACCTCTCCGTCGTTTGGATCCGTGCTGGCTGGAGTGAGCGGCATGGAGTTCATGATGGCCTCTGCCTCGGCCAACACGGTCCTCACCTCGCTCTCCATGAGCGCGGCGTCCGCGATCTGCCGCACGATCAGGAGCTTCGCTGACTTGACGGCCGCCTCCCATAAGCCGCCGAAGTGCGGTGCTCGCGGGGGGATGAACCTCCACTCCATCCCTTGCTCCGCCGCGAACATCCTCAGGCTGGACTGCTGCTCCTCGAACGCTTCCTGAAGCCTCCACAGCTCGTTCCGTGCTTCGACGAAATTTGTCCCGTTGTCGGAATACATCCTTAGCAGAACGCCACGTCTTGCGATGAAGCTTTTGAAAGACAAAAGAAAACAATTAGTCGACAGGCCTGAGACAAGCTCTATATGGACGTCCTTTGAAGCGAAACACAAAAATACCGCGATGTACATTTTAAGCGGCTGTCGACCTCGAATCCGAAGCGAGACGTTGATGGGACCACAAAAGTCCACCCCGCATATCAGGAACGGACGACCCTCCCTAAACCTGTCTGCTGGAAGATTCCCCATAATCTGACCCATCAATTTAGGTTTGTACCGAAAACAGCGGATGCATCTCCTCACTATGCGAGTGCATTCTCGACGTGCATTCATTAGCCAAATCTCTTGTCTCAGCAAACTTACTAGTGTCTTTGCATTGGCGTGACAATTCTTCAAATGCAGATTCCTTAACAGTTCGACTACGTGACTCTTGGCGGGAAGTAGAACCGGGAACTTAGTCTCAATATGCACTGGATCATGCAACAGCCTTCCTCCAACCCTGAAAAGTGAAAACGATCGCCCATCCTCTGATCTTTTTTGGATAAAAGGCTGTAGCGTATTACCTTTCGTCAGCTTCTTAAACTCTTCAGAGAAGACGCTTGGGACGATAAGGGACGATTGCTGCAACTCCTTTGCAGTTAGCTCCCTGGAACGTTCCTTGTTCTTGCCGATATTAGCAAACCGGTATACCTAAGCAAAAACTCGAATTAATTTGGGGTACGACGGAAACCGAGAAAAGATTCTATTTTAAAACGAGTCCTCAACGCCAATTAGAACTTGGGCGAATTTTTTCGCCTCGGAGTTCTTCACATCATCTGGGATGTTAAAATGCGGATTCTCTGGCCAACACTGCTCAGGCTCACATACAAATTTCGGACCTTCTAGCCAAATAGACTCAAGAAGCTCAGGCATTTCGCATCCGCGAGACGCCAAGTCCGCTGGATTCGACTGCGAAGGGACATGACGCCACGTAATGCCCTGACACAGCTCTTGAATCATGGCTACTCTATTCGAAACGAATACCGCAAGTGACGAACGTGGGGTTTTAATCCAATGTAGCGCTATTTCTGAGTCCGTCCAGAAAAATACGCTCTCGATTCGACAATTTCCCAAACCTGCTTTACGTAGGACGAAAATTGTGCCAATAAAGCTTCGGCGCACAATTCGAGCTTCGGGATGGTCTTTGTCTTCCGCGGAGCTACTCTTGCTTTTCCAGCGATCAATCGAACGTACAGTTGACCTTCGAAAAACGCTCGAACATAAATGCAGCACCCATACGCGTGACTAAACTTTTCCGCGAAGCCATGCACATGAATTGACGAGCACCCACTAGCCATAACATACCGAGGCACGGTTATTTGGTCAAGACCACACAAATTTGGCTTTAGTCTCTCTCAGCTTGTATGCAGTGACATTGGGATGGCTGAAGCTCCCACAGCTGCTGGAGGAACATTTTCGCTGTTATGCTGATTGGACTCAGTAGCCCCAGCGGATCAAATATTCGAACACTTATTGACAAAATGGTGTGCTTAGTCGGATTCAAGTTTGTGAAGCTATCTTCCAAGTGATACCGGAACGTATCTGTTCTTGGACTCCACCTCATCCCCAATGTTTTGGTCGAATCGGCATCATTGAATGATAGGGATTTCTCCTCATTGTTTCCATCCATTAGTTCTGGAAAACGAAAACCATTTCGAAAGCTGAAACCCTCCGGAGCCAAGAATCTCAGACACCTGATCGCAAATCGACTTCAGCGTGTCTATGTCATCGGCTCCTGTCAGCATATCGTCACATAAAAATCACTGCAGATCACCTCAGGAACCATCTTGTGGGTGTCTCTGTGGCGAACACCGAGCTCGTGCAAGCAACGAATGGCAAGGAAAGGTGCTGCGGGCGTACCATAGGTAACTGTATTCAACCGAAATACTTGCAACTGATAGGTGGGATGTTCTCGCCACACGATGAGTTGGAAATTCCGTTCCTTTTCGGCCACATCCACTTGCCTACACATTTTCGAAACGTCTGCCGTTAAAACATAACGATTCACCCGAAATCAAACGAGTGATAAAAATAGTTCGCTCTGAATAGTAGGTCCCACCATAAGTAAATCATTTAATGACCGCCCTGTTGTGGTCTTGCTCGACGCGTCAAAAACGACTCGAAGCTTGGTGGAACTGCTATCAGGCCTCAGGACGCACTGGTGTGGTGTAAAATAATGTGGTCCTGTCGGAATCGCGTTATCTGTCGAAGACATATGGCCGAGCTCGATATATTCTTTCATACAATTGAGATACATGTCTCTCAGCTCACTCTCTCTTAAAGTTCAGCATATCTACCCTTTGAGGTCGATGGAACGCTGGAACGCCAACTCCACATTCGCAGGAATTTTCCACTGCTTAATGAGCACTTCTATCAGGCTGCTGATTGGTAATGCTGCTAAGAACCCAGAAATCTGCTACAAGACTATGGTTATTTAACCTGGAGTATATTGTCGTCGATACTTCACTCCTCGACACCAAGCTTGACTTTCCAACAGAGGTCACTGTCAAGCAGCGGTTGACCCATGGCAACATCAGCGATTGCGCGAGACTTTCTGTCATAAATGTAGGAATCGGGATAGGGGCGGCAGTGCAGAGAGCGACTCGAAGTGGCCGCCAGTATTGAGCAACGCCCTACACACACTACACATTAAGTTACACACACGACATATTCAATACACATAATCATAAGCCAATTCCCATAATATTAAATAAAGTTACAAGAACTACCACTATTATAAAACTAACGTCGTCTTGGGCTTTAATCCACATCAGTGTAAAAACCCTGGGCCACACATAAAATTGACCTGTGAACCCGAATCCAACAACACTCTTGCTAAGTGAACTTGGCCAAACTTGTCCCGAACTCTTACCACTTCTGTGGCAAGAGGGTGTGATGCCTCTGTGAACAAACTCTGCACTTAGAGGATGTGCATTGAGATACCCTATGTCCGGATTAGAGGAAATTAATGCATAATTGCTTGCCTTTTGCGAACTCGAAGCGCTCCAGGACGGATATTGCCCCAACTCCGATCGAATGGTTGGCGCCGCAATATGCGCACATGGGGTCGATCGACTTTTCGGACTTCGCGCAAGAAAATTAAGATCTGCTGGTTTTCTTGCTGGTCGAAGGCATGTCAAACTTTGGTTTGCCTCTCGCTTTGGATGACTCCTCTGCTGAAAGGTGTTGGTACCGCCGGTTCAAGATTTTTGCACAAGCTATTAAGATGTTCCTCATACTTTGTTTTAGTATATGGGTCAACCTTGGATAACACCAGATGTATTATCATGGCGTTAACCTCTCGCAACCTCTCGCTCGTCTCCTAACGATAAAAGCGACTCTAGAATGGCTGACACTGTATCTATAATTGATCGCAATGAAGACGCTGAAGGGTTGGTTACGGCAGGAACGTCAACTAACTGGGCAAGTGTCTCAAAGAATATTAAACACTTGTTATCGTTCACCCTCCTAAAACTTTCTAACGCCTTTTGATAGTTTGCATCTTACATTTGAAACGCCTTTACGGTTCCCAAGGCTTCATCGGACAAGCATGATATGAGATGGTTGAACTTCTCTATATTGGACAACGACGGGTCGAAATCTACCAAAACTTTCAAAAAAACTAATAAACTGTTTATAATTCGCATGCTTGCCGCTGAACTTCGGCAACTTCAATTTTGGCAAATTGGAGTGATGGTGTTTAGGTGCTGAATTTACGTGTGGTTGAGGGGCTCAACCGTCGTTGTCCAATATAGAGAAGTTCAACCATCTCATATCATGCTTGTCCGATGAAGCCTGTTGGTCGCTGCCGACATGTACAGAGCCTTTGTTATCACACACGTTTCTTCTAACGCCGCTCTATCCGAATTATCTGGGTCTAGTACATCGATCTCAGACTGCAGGGCCATTGATTTGTTAATATAGGAGCTCAATATTTCCAAACGACATTGGATTTGTAATGGATACAGCGAAATTGAACCCTCCTCAAATGCTATCCTCATTCGATTTACAGTATGTCAACTAATTGTTTGCAAAATGAAATAAGTCAGACAATTTCAACTTTAGCGTTAAAAATATAAATACAGGCATTATTTGGGAAAATTTTGTTAATTAATTATGGTATATATATGAATAACCTATAGGTATGACAAAAAAACATTACGAAATTCCAAGCAAAACCTAAAAGAAATGAAGAAAACCAAAAAACGGCATTTTTGACGCTGTCAATAAATTCTTTGCAAAATGCAAACACTGCTCAAAAGAGTACCAAAAGAAAACTAACGGGACCGAAAGCTCGAAAACGACCGATCGCATGCTCTTTTCTAGTCTTCCTTGCCTTCATTCGTTCTAAAAATTTTGTCGTTTTGTTACATTAAGGATTTTTGAAATGCCTGGAAAACGCACTGACGATAATTTAGTTCAGTTGATTTATTTTCATTTTTCAAAAGGAAAAACAGCAAAAGAATTAGCTGAAACGTTTGATATTAAACTCAGAACAGTTTATTATATCATAAACCGCGCGGAAAAAGAAAACAGGCTTGAATTGCACACTTCTAAAGGCAGTCCATCAAAGCTTTCTCGGCGGGACTGTGCAAAGGTTTTGAAAACTATTGAAAATAAACCGCAAGCAAGTCTGAGAGAATTAGCGAATGTCATTAAAACTGACTGCAATAAGACCGTATGCCATGAGACAGTAAGAAAATTACTAAATAAGAAATAAATAAATAAGAAGCCATTGCTGTCCGTTGTTAATATCGAAAGGCGCTTGAATTTCGCTATTTTTGATGTTAACAATTCGCCAGAGTACTGGAATGACGTGATTTTTTGTGACGAGAGCAAGATAATGCTATACTATAATGAGGGACCAGGCAAAGTTTGGCGAAAGCCAAATACAGCCCTACAGGCCAAAAACATTGTGCCAACCGTCAAGTTCGGCAAGCTCTCAGTGATGGTGTGGGGATGCA